AAATCATGTTGCGAAAAGTGGGTGTAAATACAAACGAATTCGTATTAAAGCACAGTCTTGCGGATCGCCCAATATATATATATATATATATATATACGTATATAATCACATCAGTGATAGCCGCCTTTTTACGATAAATTGCGAAAAGTGCGTCTAGGTTAATTGTTCTGAGAAGCCAATACAATGTCGCAGTATATTCACTTTGAGTTGCCGAACGAGTTGGAGGATGAGTTGCCTGAGGTGCATTAGAATCAAGTGCGTTGGTGTTACTTCAATGGGACTAGTCAATCTACCGGTTGAGGGGGTTTTTGTTTGTACGGTCTGAGTCCTGGTAACTGGGCGCCGAGTACCAAGAACAGCGAGCTGTTTATGTTTGACCTAATGTCACCCTGAATGAATATAAGCGGCACACTTCCTAAGCCAGGCGAAATTTCCCCAACACTAACCCAAATCGTATCTAATTCCGGCTTTGAGACAGTCACGGATGCGTCGGCCATGTAACTTGTCTTGTAATGCGTGGAACCAGCACAGTGGGCTAGACCGTCGAGCCCCTTCGATTTGTGCAGGCATCATTCCATCCGGAGGGTGCTTGCTATCACTCGACCGAGTTTCAGCAGGCCCCGCCACTGTGGGCGTGTTGCGGTTATCTAGCTGCGAAATCGTACTACTGAGAATGAGGGCGCAGCATCGCGTTTCCATGTGGGCATAGAAGGGGCTTTCCTCCGGGCCATCCGTTCAGTCAGAGTTACACACCTTGTGGCACCTGGGTTGCGCCCATCCGCGTTGGCGGACCACATAGGTTCCAACCTTCTAGCCCATTCCGCATATTTGTCCGCAAAATACCGTGCGAAATAGGCTAAGTAATTACATGCTCTCCAAAATACTGATGTTTTATGCACCATTTCGCCTCACCTCCAAATGATGGATGTACACCAACCCCATCACATGAAACTCCCGCTAAATAAGTCACCAAAGCACCAAGACCATTGGACTGAATGGTAAAATTTGTCATACTGACCTGACGCGGTGTCCTTTGCAAAACTATCGCGCTACTGAGTCAGTTTTCGAGAAACAAAATGCTATCGCGTCTCCGACCAAAGTACTTCGGTGGACCGACAAGTGGCTTTGTAAGTCCGAAAAGTCATGAGTTGATCACAATTTTAATGCGATCGGTTCTCTATGTGAATTTTGGTCCTGTGGAAATCTAATTTTGCCGCCATCTTTGAGTTGGTTTTTGAAGATAGTTATGCGCTTCCCTGTTATTTCGTCTGATTGAATCTATTCTTGTGCTGAGGTTGTCCCTTCGCTTGCTTGCCCTACTGTTGCGGCACATGACCACGGTTGTTTATTTCTGGTCCACTTTCTGTTTCACCGTTTGATCTAAATTAAAATAGCCCTGTGGAATACAGCTTTTCCGTTCATAAGTGTCTACCAGCGTCTTTGAGTTTGGGGTGAATTGCCATTCGTCATCATCACTTTATCTCTGAAACAGCTCTTATTTACTTCCTGAATTCATTGATCTCTAATTTAAAGTTTATGTCTATTTGTGTTTTGAGTGGATGATGCTTGAACACCTGTTCCCCTCTCCAATGCAAAGCTGTTGCTTTTACCAAGAATCGTTAATCTCCTTCCTTGTCAACCATTACTGTCTTTTTTCCAGGTTGCTGAGGTGTGTAGCTGACTTAGCGGCGGCTCACTGTGTTCCCTTTCAGACTTGCGGTTCGCCCACTGGTATTCGATCTATACAACTGGCCACAATTCATCCTTTACGCTATGCTTTTGGTGAATAAGGTACAAGTTGCCACATGAACACTAGGGACACGGTCAGCACAGCTCACAGACAGAAACTGCATGCATCTTTTTTTTTCTAAATTTTAGGGTCATCTGCCAGTTTGCAGCGCAAGCGTAGAAACCCTCCGGCCAAGCAGGAAAGTCTATCCAAGCGAGGGCGCCTAAATTCCTCGATTCCGTCGCTAGGGTCGCGCGGACACGAGCTGTCAGGGAGCACCCGTGTACGAGTAGATTCCGTCTTTACGGATGACGAGGAGAGCGATGGAAATGGTGCTGTCGGTAGTGCAGTGAAACGTCCGTTATCTATCGATACAAACCTACCCGAAGCGAATTCTCGAGGGAGTGGATCCGTTCCCAAACTGACAACACCCAAGTCTCAAAAGTTCCTCCCGTCACCGGTTTCCACCCGAAACGTGCCGCTGGATACTAAGCGAATCAAAGGTCGACCTCGTACAAAGCACACATCTGCGCAGTTGATGGTTCCATCGTATTCTCCTGTAATCAAGTCCAAGTCACAATTTGCGCCCACACGCTGTAAATCACGCTCTAGAATGAAGCCTACATCTGCAAATGCTTCTACCTGCTCTAGTCCTTTGACTAAGCCAGGACTAGTCAGCTCACAGCGTCCGGCATCTCAAGTCGTGGTGGCCTCAGCCGGGAATTCGTACTACTTTGTAAGTCCCTAAACAGATGAAAATGCGTTTCTGGTTAATTTTTAGGTGCGGACTTTTTTTATGTCCAAACACTTACGGGACTCTTAGAGCTTTTATCCAAATTACTCTCATTTGAATATTCCCACTTTTTTTACTGTCGCTTTGCCTCTTGTTAGACCACCCTCCTACTAGATTTCATGAGCAGTGCACAACCCTGGTCATCTCGATATTTGGACAAATTACAACCACGTAATAAACAAAATTTCAATCATCCGTGACATTTCCTGTTTAGAAAGTCTTCATAGATGAGTCAATCGATCGTCAGAGTCAGAAGAACTATCGAGCCTTCTTCCGAGGCGTCCGGTAAACCAATCACATCGCTCAACTTAAAAACGTGTTTGCCATTTCAAGTCAAGTCCGTACAACAAAGCTCCCTCTCAAGTGCAGAATGGTGCAAACAAACGCCGTCGCCTGAAGAACATTAAGCCGATTCAGCTGTCTTAACAGGGAAGGAAGGATATCAGAAATAGGTCGCCGTTATGCATTTATTTATCGCGTGGTGCCACTGCCGCATGAGGTTTGGGCAAATCAGCAGTTAGCTCTGATGGTCAAATACCAGTCGTCTCACACCAACTCTCAGTGCGATTATTACGACTTGTTCAGCTGTAGCACCCTTTCGGTGCCTAACTGCCATGCCACCAGAAGGAAGCACGATACTGCCAGGTTGCCCAGGCCTATACAAGGGAAATCGAGAGACAGAAGTTGGGTTCGAACCACGGACTTTCCGGTCAGTAAATTCGCGCTCTAACCGCTGAGCCACCTTGCCCCCCGTTATTACGACTGGTACCGTTAACTTTCCTTGTAGGTGGCAAGCGAGCGATTATAAGCTACGACTGAACGCCATGAAGTTCATCCTACAGAAAGTTAGAAATGGTCAATCCTTCCAATGTGATCGAGCTCTCCTTGGCATAACATTATGCATAAGAATGCTGAAAACTCTTCGACAGCCCACCGCGGGTGTCGCCGTGTTTGATTATCCTCAGTTAGAAGTCGTTCCCGAGCATTCAATAACCTTGCTTTCCGTTTGGAAGTCACTTTGCTTACTAGAAGTATTTGCTTTTATGAGACGAAATCTCTTTTGAAAATTACAAAGTCTCTTCATACCACCAACGAACTCTAAGTAGATCAGAGGAAGAAGAATTCGCACTATGAGCGAGCCTTCTATTCGAGTTGTAGTCACTTGCGGAGCCAGTCAACACATGACCACGTGATGTAGGGTCTGTGATTAAAGGATCAGTGGTCCTAAGTCGTGCGTAAGTACGAGTTAATCACCCGGTCGACCAACTGATCTTCTTTTCTGATCTCTGTTTTCTTCGGCTTCAAGATAAATCATGTTGTGCGGCAGCGAAGCACCAGTGCTGAATACTGATTTCATGCTGTCGATGATGATGCTAATGATCCCTACTCCGGATGATGCTCGACCCGCTTCTCTGACCAGCAAATAAACTTCAAGCCAGATACTCAATGTTTCAATTGCACGTTCTCTCCTTACTTGGTTGAGTTTCAAATATGCTTCCTGTACAATGGACAGTGAACACAGGGGGCGAGATGGACCAAATGGTTTGTGCGCGAATTTACTGACCGGAAGGTCCATAGTTCGAACCCGACCTCTGCCTCTCGACTTCCCCTGTCTAGGCTTGGGCAACCTGGCAGTATCCCAGCCATCGTGCTTCTTCCTGGTAGTTAAGCACCGAAAGGGTGCTACAGCTGAACGATTTTCTGGACGAATACTAGATTCTACTATGGAACCGAATGCCCAACTCGTTTTTAGAATCTCTATCGGAAGCAGTCACTTCCACTTTTCCCATGTTCTTGAAGTCAGTCTACTCTTATTTTTCACTCGCCATTTTTAATATGCTTAAGTCGCCAGCCTCATATTCGTTATTACATGGAAAATATCATCGATGAGGTGGTAGGCATAAATTCCCTGATGTGCTATTTGGTGTATTGTTTAACTGCCACACTGCTGTAGTCAAACACAACTACCAGCAGTTTTCAGCCATACATTTTTGTGAAGTTGAACTTGCTTGAATCCCGGCTTGTGTTGTAATAATAACCAAGTTGAATTTCTCATGAGCTACTTGATAGCCCATATGAAGTTGAATTATTAGCTTTTGGGGCGTGATTAAACATGATCTTTCTGTTGAAGGGATAAGCTTGCGTGATACTACGAGCCTTTCACAGGCTTTTGCCAGTTTGATTCAAAAGGTGCGAACTCAGGCACTCATGATCATTGGAACTATCTACAAGAAACAGCAGACGAACAGTTCTTCGGCTTCGTCATTTTTGACGATACTGTGACCCTTGGTCAATAACCACTGCACTTTAGCTTAACAGCGTCCCATAGCGTTTCTTGGTTTCTTAGATTCAGAAACTTTATTTCTCAGGTTGTGATCGTCTAAGCACAAATCTGCTTTCACTACCCAGCTCACATTACTTGTAAATGTTGGCAGTGCTGATCGGAGAAAATTAGACCAAAGACCTTTTAACTACTACTTTGCTGTACATCTTATGATTTTCTACAAGAGTAGTTGTAGTCTGGCCTATTTTCTATTAATGTTGACCAGTTGATCTACTCCTGTTTGAATCGCACACCAATATCTTTCATATTCTTGTACAATAGGATAGTTATACTGCCCACACACTCGGAAGACTACTACAAAATTTTAGGTGGGTGGGTCCTGCTTCCGATTCAGCCAGTGAAATGACTTAACCTCCAATGATTTGTTAGAACTGTAATCTCCGGTAATTCGGTCATCTTCATTTCACTTATATTTCCTTGCGAAGGGGAGACGAAGTATGTATTTCTATCTCATCTGTCGCTTCTGATTTCAGAATAACAGCGGTGAGCAAATTTGGCTCTGTCCTATCTGTCTACTTGAAGATGATGGTAACCTGATGATTGGCTGTGATAGCTGCGACGACTGGTATCACACGTAAGTGAAAGTTTTTCTAACATACTTAGTTCCGAATAAAGTAGCCCGTTCACAAGCAAAACTTTTCTTGAAGAACTTCACATTGCTTGGTTTTCTCTGAGGCGTTTCCCCTCCCAACCGTCCATCCGTGACACCTTCCGATTCATTGCAGTCATGCGACCCGGAAGTAGCGCTAGGGTTGAGACACTTCCAGTTTGCCCAGGTGTGCTGGGAAACTTGGGGTTGGCTTCGATTTACGTGGCTCCAGATCATTAGCTCGTTCCCTAATCAATGTGCTTTATCGGACGATAAAAAACCGCAATCCTCACATGTTGGATAGTGCTTAGGTCCGATTTTTCTGCGAAGAAATCACAGATGTATTGTTGGGTTTGTAACGTAAAAGTCATTGTCTGCATCGCACAGCCCCTTTTGCTCAGTTAGGTTCGGCGGGAAACCAATGCAACGAGGTAGAAGAGCTCTAACTTGTAAGCCTAATGAAATAGGCGATTGCCGCTGGGATCCAGGACCTATACACCACAATACTTTGATATTCAAGGATGAATCAGTGATGACTTTTGGATTCAAAAGTCATTGCCATAAATCTTTACTTTATTCGAAAGCTGATGACTGATTGATCGCCCTATATTGTGTTACCGCACCCATCTTTATACTGTCGTTTATGGTTGATGCAACTGTAGCAGCTGGAAACAAGACGCTTCTTTTGAACTATGTAGAGCCCGGAAAATAGACTTAAGTACCAGCTGCAAACCACTGCTTTTAGCCCATCCGAACCTGAATACGTAAAGACATGAACTCCGTCCATTGGACACAGTTACTGCTGCTTCATATCATATGTCTGTCTGAGGAGCCTTGATTGTGACTAATACGAATTGGTCATGTAGTATTACCGTTCGTTTTATCGAGTTGGACCCTTGTTTTTCGACCAAAAACAAAACTGGTTTGACAAATCTAACAGCGTTCTTAAGCCCTGACCCCCTTCGGTTTGATGTTTCTTTTACACAATTTCATGAGAAATTAATAGTCCGTCAAATTTTGGTCAGCGCCATCGGTAATTCAGTTCTCTCAGCATAAACTACTGTCTGTGATACACAGCTGATGATTTGTTGTCAGTGATTCCTCTCGAGATTCTCTGTCGAACAAGTTGTGCCTTCATTCTCGTGTTAACCGGACTGGTCAAGTATCGCCGAGTCCCTACACTCAAAATGAAACCCAGATTGCATGTGTTCTTCTGTACGCTGTTAGTCATCAGTTCATACAAGAGGTTTTGACCCATTGATTGAAGCCGATCAAGGTTTCAACCTGCGCATGTGATAGTCTTCATCAATTGGCAAATAATAAAACTGTTCGCCATACTCGAGAAGTTTCTGCTAGTTGTCATTCACACAACTCCATCGTTAGGATGCTTAACTGCTCAGGCATTCAACGTGGTGGGATAGTGGTGACACACTAGTGTCACGTGGCGGATGCTCTAAATTCAGATATCTGGGCGGTCCGAACAATAATAATAATAATAATAATAATAATAATACTATGTTTATGTTGAGTGAAATTGATCCGACTGTTTCCCCATCAGACTAATCATGCTAGGTAGGATAGAGTGAGGGTTGTTCAAACAAGAGTTGTGAGGAAGCACATTAAATGTAACAAATTCTGTCAAATTCTTACGGTCTCCACTGTTGGCATAATTGTCCGTTTCTTGAACTCCATGGGAGCAACCTACCCAAACGTTTTCAACAAGTCAGAGTAAATTTGAAAATTAAGACAGCTACGACATCGTGTGTTTTCAGGTATATCAAATGCAGTGGGTAATCGAGAGACGCCTAGTCCAATCATGTACGTCTCGTTCGTTGCGGGCTCGGACTGCAAGCATATTGCACCTTTTTTGGGGAAGGGGGGGGGGGTAATTGCAAATGATGGTGAGACACTGGCAGGTAGGTGATGCCTTCCATAGTAAAGAGGCAGGAAGTGTCCAGCTTACTGAAGGGCCTTCCGTCAAACTAGGAACGCACTAACCAAATACAAGTACAAGTTGGGTTTTTACGGGAAACTCAACTGAGTTCAGCTGAATCTCCTGTTCATATTGGTCTTCTTTTATAGACCAACAAGTCGTCAATAGTCGTGGCTTGAGTTTCTCCTTAATTAACGTCATACGCTTGGTGTGGAATATCCCCTCACCACCATCCGGGGTAAAGACGCGTGTTTCAACATTTATCGATGGACGAGTGAGAAGGCGGGTTAGACCGTGTTCACCGGAGAATCAGTGAGGTCGTTTTCAATCAGTTTGGAAAAGTTTGGAACCCATGAAGAAATCATCGTTTCAGAAGGGCTTGGTAACAAAGCTAACCTGGTGGGGTTATCAATTACCCTGGGTTGTTGTTCACTCTGCGTAGGAGTGAATTCTGTTGCATGGGATGGAAATAGTCGATCTCGAAAAATCAGTGCTCCGTCCTGATTGGGATTAATCAAATGGATGTGACAGAGTGTAGTTTTCTGATATCCATGCCAATATCTCATTCCAAAACGCAAATTTCCGACCGCTTACTTCGCTTATGCACACGACCCGTAGGAATTCAAAGTTTGCTTGATTCAGCCCGCACATCCTAGACCATTCTCCAATTTTCAAATTCTTGTTGACTTTGACACACCATCTATTGCTGGCGTATGTATTACCCGACAACCATCTTTCGCGTCATGTTGATTTCCGGTTCTTTTCATCTATGTGTGTTACCACATAAAGGGGGGGGGTAATTGCAAATGATGGTGAGACACTGGCAGGTAGGTGATGCCTTCCATAGTAAAGAGGCAGGAAGTGTCCAGCTTACTGAAGGGCCTTCCGTCAAACTAGGAACGCACTAACCAAATACAAGTACAAGTTGGGTTTTTACGGGAAACTCAACTGAGTTCAGCTGAATCTCCTGTTCATATTGGTCTTCTTTTATAGACCAACAAGTCGTCAATAGTCGTGGCTTGAGTTTCTCCTTAATTAACGTCATACGCTTGGTGTGGAATATCCCCTCACCACCATCCGGGGTAAAGACGCGTGTTTCAACATTTATCGATGGACGAGTGAGAAGGCGGGTTAGACCGTGTTCACCGGAGAATCAGTGAGGTCGTTTTCAATCAGTTTGGAAAAGTTTGGAACCCATGAAGAAATCATCGTTTCAGAAGGGCTTGGTAAACAAAGCTACCTGGTGGGGTTATCAATTACCCTGGGTTGTTGTTCACTCTGCGTAGGAGTGAATTCTGTTGCATGGGATGGAAATAGTCGATCTCGAAAAATCAGTGCTCCGTCCTGATTGGGATTAATCAAATGGATGTGACAGAGTGTAGTTTTCTGATATCCATGCCAATATCTCATTCCAAAACGCAAATTTCCGACCGCTTACTTCGCTTATGCACACGACCCGTAGGAATTCAAAGTTTGCTTGATTCAGCCCGCACATCCTAGACCATTCTCCAATTTTCAAATTCTTGTTGACTTTGACACACCATCTATTGCTGGCGTATGTATTACCCGACAACCATCTTTCGCGTCATGTTGATTTCCGGTTCTTTTCATCTATGTGTGTTACCACATAAAGACTGTTAGTTGTTCTTCGCTTCAGCACTTGTTTGGGGCTGTCTGCCGAACCCGAAGTTCCACAATGGTTTTGTCCAAAATGCGTCGGGTCTTCAACGCCTTGTCCAACCGTGTATAGTGGTTCCATCACAACACCAGTATCCTCCTTTCCTGTACAGACTACCCCTCATGTAAGCTCCGTTGGACAGGGACGCAAATCAAAAGGCAGCTCAAAAGGATCCATGAAGCATAAACGGTAGCATGACCTCGTTGGAACTACGGGGTTGTCAAACTGTTCTCTAACTTTTTGCCTTTCTCTTACATGTACATATGTGAATCTCTCAGACATAAAGGTCGATCTTTTTTATTTCTTTTTTTACTACTGCAAGTGGGGTGATCCTCCTTCGATTAGCTTTTATGCATGCTCCGTTGAATCCGTGGTTGTCAACTGCACCGGTAGATTACAACATCTAATTCACTACCACGTATCCGTGTTAACCACATCCTTCATTTTACTGAGAAGCAATGTTTTCAGTCATCTCGAAAGCCTTGATTAGACTGACCATGCTAGACTTTGACATTGAAACTTCACTTCTTATCGTTGATTTCTCCCGTTCTCTCCAGCCAGCGGAGCTGGTTATGGGAATTCCTGAGTCAGACATGTTCCGAACTTCTGTCTTTCATGGACAACATATGGCTCCAGTATTCCATCCGAAGAATTCGATTTGTAAAACTGTGAGACAGAGGATTTGCTTAACAGCGCTCAACTCTAGCCATGTGGAACGGGTAGTGCGCCTAATGTCCTCCAGTGGGCCTCAAGTATGCTTGTACGGTCGAAAACTAGTATGTACCAGTGACACCTGTTTTGAAAAATGAGTGTTTTATGTAGCAACAGCCAGGGGTTTATAATCAAGATTCATCCAACAGTTTGTCAGCCTGATTAAATTGCTGTACACAAACTTCGACGAAGAACCACATGACGGATGGCTGCGTGAGCACAACTTTTGCGAGCCCGTGGTATGGGTCTGAAGCATGGTGATCAGATGGGTTTGTGAGGTTGTCATTCGTCAGTAAACATCTGGTGAACTCTCCTCTTCCTTCACTACCTTAGGTTTGTCGATTGATTCAATGAACTGTCAGTACAGTTGCCGTGTAGTCCATAGGCAGCAGAATGGCCGATATAGTGCCACGTTACTGAGGCCCACACAGGAGTAATCGCAAAGCCAGGGTTAGGTCTGAACAACGGACCTTCGATTCAGTAGATTTACTTACTAACTTCTGAATTTCAACTTCATCTTAAGACCAGTTGTGAAGGATGGGAAACCCTCCGCTGCGAAGTCACTTATTAGCAAACACTAACTAAGCAGCGACAAGTCGTTAGGCAGAAATGTAATCGCCTCGCACGCACATCATCTTCGGGAACTGCACGTTCTCACGCGTCTTCTTGAACTTACCTGTATATTCGTTGCTTGTTGCACAACAGTAAATGAACTCTGCAGAGTAGTTCCATAGTCTCCTCAATAGATTTCGCCTTCCATCTAATGCGGGGGAAGCTCAGACATCGACCAGACTACTTGCATGCTTCATCAGTAGCACCCACCGTCATGCTCGTAGACCACATTCCGATGCGTAAGTCTTCGGTAAGAGAGCGCTTCTCCCCTTTTTGGAGCATTTATTGATGCGCATCATCCGTTCATATGAAATGGCTAACTCAAAAACCGTAGTTCATGATTTTATTTTGAACCCAAATGAGTCGTAGACGTTTAATTCAGCCCGGCATAGCCTTGGTTTGACGAAACAGCAGTGAAATGCTAGCTTGACACTTGCTTTAACTGATTTCAGCCACTGTAACCGACTGCGGCTCATGCTGTTACGTATGTTGCCAGGCGGTCAAACTCCGGTCCAGAAATCAGTGGGAACCGCAAGCTAGACACTATGGCAGAGAGGATCGTGACAACTGCAGAAGAAAACAGTAACGGAATAAACTAAGTGGCGAAAACTTTTACGGGAATCTGTTGTCCGCTTGTGCAGTGAGTGAACTTTCTATACTTATGGTAATAGACTCCGTCGAAGAAGGATTGCAGTTACCGTGAGGAGCGTTTGGAGTTTGCCATCTTTCACTCGTTATTCGGAAGATGGTTGTAAATACTGGAGCATATTACGCGGTTCACCGAAGCTAGTGTAATATAACAATCCGTTGCCATTTGTGTCCGCACCCAGCGCGATTGTATGACTAGCTTAGATTTATAAACCGCCTGCTCAATAAGGGGCCCATTGGCCGCACAATGCTGTTAGCTGCGAAACCTTCGCGAGTAGAAGAAAGCTTCGTGCCAAAATGTTGCATTGTATTGCATTTGTGCTCACAATAAAAATCATCCTAATCTAAGTTCATATTTTCGCGGTTCACCAAATTTCATTGTCCCATGGTGGACGAAGTCCAGTAGAATACTTTCCTAACACTGCGGGGACCCCCGGACGCCTATATTGGGCTCAAAAGTTCGGAAGCATACTCCGAACTCGGTCGCCAGTCCCTTTTAGCCCACCAGGGACACGTCGTAGCTTCCGAAACTTGCATCCCATTGTGCGAATGCCGTGCTCCCTCAATAACACTATTGTTTTGTATACGGCCTTTTTGTATTTAAATTTGCCTTACGTGCATCAAAACAAGTAACGTGTAAGGGCAAACCGAGAAGTTGAAGGAAGCAGAAGATATGGAAATGAGCTATCCTGGGATTTTTAAACACACTTCACTGTCGGCTGAATTCGAGTGTGTAATACCTATTTATTGTTTTGTATACGGCCTTTTTGTATTTAAATTTGCCTTACGTGCATCAAAACAAGTAACGTGTAAGGGCAAACCGAGAAGTTGAAGGAAGCAGAAGATATGGAAATGAGCTATCCTGGGATTTTTAAACACACTTCACTGTCGGCTGAATTCGAGTGTGTAATACACGGGCGACTCTTCTGGATTCTCGCATTAGACACAATCTCCAATGCAATTGGTAAGTACGTATGCTAGGTGCTTTTGAAATCAGCTGTTCCCTTTTCCGATTAAGTTGTTTTTAATTTGGCTGGTCCATGGGAGTCCACCAAAATTTTCTCGGGAACTCTTTATCGCCCTGGAAACTTGATAATTGTCTAAATCTACTAACATTTTGCCCAAAGCTGTTAAAATGGATTACTTTTGATTCCGATTATTAACTATCCCGAGTTTGTGGGCTGCTGACTTCTATTGGGTTGTCCACTCGTGTACTTTTCGATCACTAAAAGATTTTCAAGCAACTCGAATTCTACAGCTGGTAGAGGAAATTGTCTTTTCCCAGAGTAGTAGTAGACTTCTCGTTCCTGAAACCCATGTGCGGTAAGTAACTTGATGTTACCCATAAAACTGCTCAAAATTAGCGAAATACACTCTTCGCTCCCACATATGGTTCCCTCGGGAGACACAACTGGCTCCATCGTATTTTGTCTTTTCAACTGAAGTTGCTGCACCAGCCGCCCTCATAGGCTTCAGTAGAACTAATGGTTCAGGAAAACCCGGGGACTGCGCCCACTTGTTGAACTTCAAGTAGAGCGATGTCAGTCGTCACCTGTTGCCGTGATAATAGAAACCTAGTGGGAAATATGCTCGGTTTATTCTATGTGTTGCAGTGCCTATGTATCCTACTAACTGAAACCTTAGGTGGCCTGGCCCCGCGCATTCAGTTAAAGAACATAAACAAGAAATAAAGTTGCGTATCACTTAAAAGCCAAAGTGGAATGCGAATTTAGTGTATTTAACTAACATTGGTGTCAATTCTCGGTGGCCCCTTTTTGTGTTGGGAACCGCAAGCGCTTTGCGGCAGTCAGCTATCCATCAGTTTTTCCGCGCACAAATGTCTGGGAGCTCCCTCACCATGTGTCGTATTAAACGGAACTTCTCACTGATGTAATGGCAACAAATTTAGGATGCTTAAGATTTCGTGTGCCCCTGACGCTATGCAACATCGATTTCTATTTATCATTAGGCAAACATTTTGTGCCATTTCGTGTCCCGGTTTGTGAACTAGCGCTCCATTTGTGTTTAGCTATTAAGCATATAACAGGTGCAGTTTGGTCACAGCTGCTAACCAGGATAACTCAACATGTTCTTACCTTTGGGTTGAGAGAAAGCAAAATGATGTCGCCATTGGAAGGATACGAGAATAATGGCAGCCAAATGCGATAAGTGCTGCTGGGTTTTCTGCGATTGGCAGCCTGAGTTCTTGATGACGGAAGCAAAAAATTGTCGTACGTAATAAGATTTTGCTGGGGGTTATTAGCAACCACAGAGGATCAATAGCTTGATTAATGCCTGTAGTTCGGAAGAGTTGTCTCTGGCTGACCTTAATGAACATCAGACGAAGTTTGCGTATCGGTTATTCTGCGCAATGTAAGGGCTGCGTCACCCGATACCTCAACTGGTTTCCAATGGACGACAAGTAGGAAAATTCGCTGCAATCACTCAGGCAGGACGGCTAGCTGTAAGATAACATAAAACAATGAAAGTGATGTTGAATGCGGAGAAGATCGCGAGGCAAATAACATCAATCTGAGCACATACACTAACTTGATTGTGTTAGCCATGTATTAGCATAATGTTGAGAAAACGACACCCTGTTAGAATGGAAAACTAAGGTATTTTTCGGTTTTTATGCTGAACATATATGTTAAGCGCCTAACAAAATAGCCTGATAACAAAATCAAGTTGGTTGCTTCTTCCCATCAGTTCCCGCATTTAAACATCAATCACCATCTTGTAGGCGAATTCAGCTTGAACGCGCGCCTTCTGGCTTATTGGTAAGTTGAACGACAGGAGTGCTCTCCGGAGTGCTAATTGCATTCAACGTGGATTTTGGCCCACCGAATTCACCCTGTACAGCTGGCTAATTTTCGCATCCAATATTTCGGTTTTCCTCAGCCACTATGTCCTCTTGGGTGGATTGTCTCCTTCAGCTAAATAATCATCCTGTTCATGTCATGCTCAGCATTGTGGCATGCAATCAACATGCACCCAAAGTTGGACTCTGGTTAGCTCGTTTCCTCACCTGTACAATGGTACTCGCGCCGGAATAAATGTCACTTGTTTGTTCGGGTTTTTTCGTTGACTCGCCTTGGTTGTCTTCTTAGATTTGACTACGTGGCAGCTCTCAAACCAGGTACGTGGATTATTTTGTCTATTGTGTGTCCGCTGGGAATCACGAGTACTGACGTGCACCGTATACCATAGTGACCGGACCGCTGGCCTCAAAGTTACCATAGACATTACGATTTTGAATCTTCCTCTTTCTCTTTCCTCGTAAGAATATTTTTCGATGA